CCTCCAGCGTCTCGCGCATCGTGTCGAAGGCCTTGCGCAAACCCTCGCCCGCCTCCCCCTCGGGGAGTGCTCCGACGAAGGCGTCGAGCGCCTGCTGCAGGGGCTGGGCGAGAGACACTGGCGGCGCCGCCCTCGCCTCGCCCGCGCCACCCTGCGCGCCCAGCGAGAGCCCGCGGGCCTTCGCGTCCTCGAGCTGCTTCTGGACGGTGTCCAGCTCCTCCTGCGCAACGATGGCGGCCTTGACCGCCTCCTCGGCCTTCGACTGCATGCACGCCACCTTCTGCTTGAGGTGCACCATCTGCTGGCTGTACTTCCCAATGAGCGTGTTGATCTGCGCGGCCTCCGCCTTGGCCCCAGAGAGGCCATAGTTCTGGAGGGCGCGCTGATGCATGAGTGAATCCCTCTGGTGTCGTGGGATGGACTGCGAGGCAAGCGCGAACTGCTCCTCCGAGAGATTGAGCCACAAAGACTTCTCCTCGGCCGTGAGCTCACGCTTGGGAGGGGGAGACGCCTTGCCTCCTCCCCCCGCACCTCCACCGCCACCACCTCCTTTTCCTCTGAAACCGTTTTCCTTGCCGCCGCCGCCTCCAGGGATGAAGGCTCCACCGCCTTTACCCCCTTTGCCGCCGCCGCCGAACCCACCCATGCCCCACCACGGATTTCCCCAGGAGAACTGGACCTGCGGGATGGGGCCTTGGGGGTTCCGTCCATTGCACCCTGCCTGCTTGCAAGTGCCTCGGTGCCCGAAGTTGTGGAAGCCACAGGTCCCGCACGTCCACGCCGGCGCCATGGCCGCGTCTCAGCACGAAGGTACCTCGCTCGCAAATCACGGCGGCTCGGGCAGCTCGCCGTGGGTTCGAAAAGAAAAGCCTCGGCCTCCTGACGGCCTCGAGAGTGGCCACGGAGTGCCAAGGCTAATCGCTGATTCTCGGGCGTCTATAGCCCTTCACAACGTTTAACCTTGAGCCAAAATGGCTACAGATCCTCCTCCTCCTCCTCCTCCTCCTCCTCCTCCTCCTCCTCCTCCTCCTCCTCCTCACTCCTCACTCCTCACTCCTCACTCCTCCTCCTCCTCCTCCTCCTCCTCCTCCTCTCCTCCTCCTCCTCCTCCTCCTCTCTCCTCCTCCTCCTCCTCCTCCTCCTCCTCCTCCTCTCCTCCTCCTCCCTCCTCCTCCTCACTCACTCCTCACTCCTCACTCCTCCCTCCTCCTCCCCCTCCTCTCGCCTCCTCCTCCCTCCTCCTCCCTCCTCCTCCTCACCTCCTCCTCCTCCTCCTCCTCCCCTCCTCCCTCCTCCCTCCTCCCTCCCTCTCCTCCTCCCTCCTCCTCCTCCTCCTCCTCCACCTCCCTCCTTCTCCTCCCTCCTTCTCCTCTTCCTCCTCCCTCCTCCCCTCCTCCCTCCTCCTCCCTCCTCCTCCCTCCTCCCCCCTCTGCAAGAGTGGCGACGGCCGTGTGGGGCTGGAGGGGCGAAGCGGGGCCTACCGACGCCGTTGAAACGGGCGGCGCGCGGCGACGAGGAAGGAGCTCGAGACGGAGGGCGAAGTGATGCTGCTGCTCCTCCTCCCCCTCCTTCTCCTCCTCCTCCCCCTCCTGCTCCTCCCCCTCCTCCTCCTCCCCCTCGACCTCCTCCTCCTCCCCCTCGACCCCCGCCTCTTGTTGTCTCCCTGTCGACCCCCTCCTCCTCCTCCTCCTCCTCCTCCTCCCCCTCCTCCTCCACCACCTCCTCCTGTTCCTTCTCCTCTACAGCCCCGCGCAGGCTCAAGCAAGTTCGAGGCTGGGAACATGGATTTCTCTCGAAGCGCTTGGTGGAGCAGCAGTCCAGGTCCAGATGCACTGACATTCTACGTTAAAAGAAGCTCCAAGAAAGCGCCCAGGGTTCAGCCCAGATTCTTGATTCCCTCATTCGAAATCTGGCATCCATGACATGTGATATTTTTCGCCCAGATTTATGATGGGTGCGCCCCCTCCTCCCGTCCCCCCTCCGCCTGTGGCTCTTTGGCAAGAGAGCTGTCGGATGAGCGATCCAGGCCCGCGCAGCCAGCCAGGAGAGCCAGCAGCCACGGACAGCCGAACACGAATATGTTAATGGCGTCGTTTTCCTCTCTTCTCCTCTCCGATGATAAGAACAATCCAAACGACGAGTGCACACAAACATACATACATCTACGGCGAATTGGGGGAATCCTCAACCAACATGATGTGCAATCTCTTGGGGACATTTTTACTTCCGCCAACTTCCGCCGACCTTCCGCCGGTGGAGCCGCCCTCGTTTTACGTCCCAGGCTTCCGCCGAGGAAGAAATAAAAACTCGTCTGATCTCGAATGCGAGGTACTTTCTGGAACGCCCCCTATATAGAAGTCTGTCTGTCTGTCTGTCTGTATGTATGTATACATGCACGTCCGCATGCATGTGTGTATGTGTGCATGTACGTCTGAATGTGCTTAGGCAGCTGTGTTGGCACATATGCATGCCTATATGTATGTATGTGTATGTATGTATGTATGCATGCATGCATCTATATATGTATGTATGTATGTATGTATCTATGTCTGTATGTATGTATGCATGTATGTATGTATGTATGTATGTCTATATCGATGTGTATGAATACCTATATGCGAATAGGTACACATGTACGTATGCACGTACGTATGGTTGTGTATGTATGCATGCATGCACACACATATACATGCATGAATACGGGCGTGTGTACAAACATACATACACACATACGTACGTACGTACAGACAGACATACATATATGCATGCATACGTGCATGCATACAACAATACATGACTACGTACATACATGCACACCTACCTACATACATGCACACATTCATACACACATACATGCATACATGCACACATACATTAATGCATGCATACATGAGTACGCACGTGCGTTCGTACGTATGCATGTCTGCATGTATGTACGTATGTATGTATATATGTATATGATCGGATGCCTGGTTGCATGTTTGTACGCGTGTCCGTATGTATGCATGCGTATGTGTGTCTAATTGAACGTACGTGCGTACCTATGGTTGTGTATACATGCTCGCATGTGTAGATGTGTGGATGCATGTACGTATGCATGCATGCATGCATGTAAGTAGAAATGCATGGCTGTATGTACGAATTCATGTATGTATGCGTGCATGCACGTATGTATGTACGCATGCATGTATGGTTGTACGTACGTGCGTCGGTTTGTTTGTATGTATGGTTGTACGCACGTGTATGCATGTATTCATGCATGCGTACAAATATGAATGCTTGCGCGACCACGCGTACTTACGCATGTTCGCATGTCATTATGCAAGTTTGTATGTATGTTTGTTTGTTGGTTTCTTTGTTTGTACGTACGCATGCGGGTACATGGTAAGTATACATGCTTTTACGTATTGCATACATACTTGATTATGCATGCACAAATTTATATCTGCACACATGTGTGCACGTTTGCATGTAAAGGTGTATGTATGTGGGTACGTGCGTACGTGCTTGCGTATGTCAAAACATATGCATGTATGTTTGCACGGATGCATGTGTATGTGTATGTCTGTAATGTATACACATATGTATACATACATACATATATACATCATGTACTCTCGCTCTCGCCCTCGACAACAAACGGCAAAGCAGTCGCACGCGATCCCCCACTGGCCTCGCGAAACGAGTGGCCTAACAGGACGCCTCCGTCTCGCATCTTGTCGATTTGGGGCATCCTGTGCTCTTCAGTCTATGCTGTGCGAAGTGTAATATGTATATATATATATGAACATATATACATATATATACATATATAAATATATGGTGGAACCTATGTGGTGCAAGGTATGTGGTGCAACCCACTCGGACTGTCTTGACGCTGTCCTCACCAATGCTCGTGCAAACATCCCACCCTCCCACCCGCAACTTGGTCGCAATACCTCGTAAGACGGTGACGGTAGATACAAAATGGCACTTGGCAGCGACACCGACGCCGACACTAGGGGCCCCGGCGCCCAGGGCGTGCGGACCGGACGCTGAGGCCGTTCCCCAGCAGTAGTAGTACTAGTAGTGGTAGTAGTAGTAGTAGTAGTAGTAGTAGTAGTAGTAGTAGAAGTAGTAGTAGTAGTAGTAGTAGTAGTAGCAGTAGACCAAATAGTGGTCACAGTCGTAGTCGTAGTCGTAGTCGTAGTAGTAGTAGTAGTAGTAGTAGTAGTAGTAGTAATAATAGTAGTAGAAGTAGTAGTTGTAGTAGTGGTAGTAGTAGTAGTAGCAGTAGTAGTAGCAGTAGTAGAAGTAGTAGTAGTAGTAGCAGAAGTAGTAGTAGCAATAGTAGTAGTAGTAGTAGTAGTAGTAGTAGTAGTAGTACTAGTCGTAGTAGTAGTAGTAGTAGTAGTAGTAGTAGTAGTAGTAGTAGTAGTAGTAGTAGTAGTAGTAGTAGTAGTAGTAGTAGTGGTAGTAGTAGTAGTAGTAGTAGTAGTAGTAGTAATGGTAGTGGTAGTGGTAGTAGTATTAGTAGTATTAATGCTAGTAGCAGTAGTAGTAGTACTCATTGATTTCGTGGTAGTAGTGGTTGTTGTTGTGGTTATAGTCGTCGCCGTAGTAGTAATAGTCGTAGTATTTGTCACGTGAGTAGGTAGTGTTGATATTAGTAGTAGTCACGATGCACGAAGCTGTATCAGTTTTGCCCGTAGTAGTAGTAGACGTAGTCATAGCAGTTGTAATCGCAGCGGTAGCAGTAGTACTAGTAGCAGTAGCAGTGGTAGTCGTATTCGTTGAGATTGTCGAGGTAGTAGCGGTACTTGTAGTTCTTGAAGTAACCGTCGTACCTGTACTGCTAGTCGTAGTCGCGGCACGAGTCCCAGTAGTACTGGGAGAAGCAGCGGGACGCGTCGGTAAGCCCTGTTTTGGGTTCGCCCACGCGGGCGCGCGACACCCTGGCTTCACTGTGAGACTATCGCCACGCGATGGGACGGGCGAAACGGCGATGGAAAAGAGCCGCCCTAGGAAACCAGGAGAGATCCGGCATACAGCCAATGCTGCGCCCGCTGCTCCAACGCGGTGGCGCGATCCCAGAACGCGTCGCCCTGCGCGGGTGCTCTGGCAGCCACGTCCGCGATGCACTTCGCGGCCGCTTTGACTGTGTAGTCGGCGTGTGCAAACTGGTTCAGGTTCAGCTTCCGGGACACGTGGGCCCTCTTGTGCACCGCCAGCTTCGCAACGAGGCTCCACGATGGCGGCCGGGCTTTCAAGTGCACGAGAAGAGCCTGTGAGCGGGACTTCTCCCAGCGCGCCCGGCCAAGCCCGGCCGCTCGGAGGGGCGAGTCAAACGACGCGAACACATCCGCGAAGCGGTCACTCACTGCTCGCATCACCACGGGGCAGAAGCGGTGGAACAAACAAGGAACATACTGGATGGAGTAAAACTCCAAGTCGAGACCGAAATCGGATTCCAGGCCGTCGCGGAGGCGTAGTGCAAGCGCGACGCATCCGCGAGCAGTGTCGCTGTCGGGAGCCTCGGTGAACCGCGCGAAGAGGACGCGGGGCGCCGGCCCGAACGCAGTATACCGCCTGGCCAGCCTCCCGTACGCGCCACCGACGTATCCAGCCATCGTGACTTGAAGGCAATCCGCGGGCACGCCTGCGCCTGCTCGCGCGGCCACTCATCGTCGCCAGCGTCCTCAAGAGGCCCCGCGTCGTCGCCGTGGTGGTCCTCCTCATCGCCCTCGCCGTCGTCGCCGGCGTCGTGGTCCGGAAGAGTCAAACGACGACCGTCGCGTGTATTGAAAAGACAATTGATGCCGGTGCGCGTGAGCGCCAAAAGCGTCAAGCGTTCCCGGACGACCTCGAGTATGATTCCGTCTGCCTCCATCACGAAAGCGCGCGCCGACTCGCAGGAGACACGACTGTCATACCCATCCCGGAAAATGTGCATGTTCACGAATGTGACATCGCCAACGTAAATGGCAGCACACAATGAATGAAACCATAGGCGGATCAGCCGCAGCGATGGCGTCTCCGAAAGGCCCGGGACGTGACCACAGCAGGCTCGCAAAGAATGAAAACATTGAACTGCTTGGGGGGCGCGCTTGCGGCTGGGCGCGCGGAGAACATCTTGTCTTTCAAATGCAGCTCGCGAGATATCGTCATCGATGTCGACGTTGCTCGCCAAATCTCACCACCTCTCTGGGGCGTAGGCGGGCTAGGGAGGTTCCTCTTCCAACCCCCTTTCTTCCCTTTGGGGGGGGGTCCCCAGCCGCTGTCCCCATGCGCGCCCGCTCACTTCCGTCATGACCTCCATTGGATTGGGCATCATATCTGGATGGGCGGTTGGGGATACACGAAGCGTCGATAATTAGTTTTCGCAGATTCTGCAAACGTGCTCTCGGGAAGGCCACTCCGCATCGATATGCATGCGCGACGAAACGCATCCACAGTGCAGAACAAGAAGGTACCGCCCCGAGCTTCTTGCCGAGGCTTTGTGCCTGGACAGCCAGTGGCCGGGCCAATTCACGCCCGAGCATGGCGTGCGCATCCGAATCGCATTGATGTCGTTTTGTTTCCTTCCTTTTTTGCAGGGGGGCTCCAGCCCCGCATGCGAGCCCCCGCGTGGTTGCCCTCTGCGCGCACCACACATGCACATCTCACCAGACGCTCGCACTGCGTTGTTCGGGCAACCGCGCGACACGTCCCGAAATCTCCAAGGAGCGTGCGTGGAAGGGGTTCTGCAGTCTGCTCCACCAGAGCACTTGCAACGACCCATTCGGAGAAACCTGATCGGACAAGAACGGGAAGCACCGCTGTGGGCGTATTGGCTAAGAAGAAAAGGAAGGCGAGGACAAGGAGGAGTCGATGACGAGGACGGCGAACGTGAGGATAGCGAGGAGGAGCATGAGGACAACAAGGAGGAAGAGAAGCACAAGGACGAGGACGAAGAGAACGAGGGCGAGCACGAGAAGGAATGCGGAGGGCGATGATGACGACGGCGACGACGACGACGACAGAGGACAGTACGAGGCAATTGGAGGAAGGGGCCTGTTGGGGGCTTCTTGGGGGCCCCTTGGGTCCTGTTATGGGCTTTTGGGGTCTTCTTGGGTTGTCTGGGCGCGTTGCGGGGTTCTGTGGGAGTTTCCTTCGGCTGTCTTGGCGTTATCTTGGACTGTCGTGGGGCTCTGGGGGCCTGATTGGGGCCCGTGGGGAGCATTTTGGGAACCTCTTGGAGGCTTCTGTGACCCTCTTGGACTGTCCAGGCGTCTCTCGAGGGTCTGTGGGGGCTCTCTTGGGCTGTCTTGGCGTTATCTTGGACCGTCTTGGGGCTCTTTTGGCCAGTCGTCCTGGGGCCTCTTCGCGCGCTCGGGGGGGCCTCTGGGCGCCTCTTGGGGGCCTCTGGGCGCCTCTTGGGGGCCTCTTGGGGGTCTCTTGGGCCGTTCCGGGGGTCCCCAGGGGGGCCTTTGGGAACTCTCTTTTGGGCCGTTTTGAGGCCCTCCGGGAGCGACTCCAAGATAATCTGGTTCGGAGTCCCCTCCGGAGCCGATGTTTCGAGGATGTCTCGAGCGAAACGGCCATTTTCCCGTCATCCGCCAGCGAGGTGCCGCATGGGATCCGTAGCCCCTTAGTTCAAATAAATAAGAAGCCCCAGAACCAGCGGCGCACGCCGGAGGCGCTTCCCGCCATCCGCCACCGCCCGCCAGGCCTGCAACATCTCACGTGTCCCCCGCGCTCTCGGGCGTGCCAGGACGCGCCGAGGTGTCCCCTAGAGGGCCGAAGAGGCCCCCGGGGCACCTTCTTCTTCTTCTTCTTCTTTTTCTTCTTCTTCTTCTTCTTCTTCTTCTTCTTTGGGGCGCGCCGAGGTGTCCCCGAGAGGGCCGAAGAGGCCCCCGGGGGCAGCTTCGGGAGCCTCCAGCAGGGCCCCGGACTGCTGCAGACCTGCGGCCCAATGACCTCCCGAGGCTCTCCGAAGAGATCCCTGGGAGCCGTTCCCGATGACCCTCGCCGGCTGCCAGCACGCGGTGGCGGGATGCACCGAAGGCCATTCGATAAAATATGGAGGGCCTACGGTACGGCAGGTTCGTGTCGTGCCGACCCAAGCGTTGGTTTTTGACACCGCAGGGATCGTTCAACCTTGAACGATCGGCCGCTGCCGCAACGTCCGATCGTTCAACGTCGATCGATTCTGGGTCGCCGACGGCGTTCAACCTTGAACGCCCGCGCTGGGGTCGCCGCTGGTCGACACGACGCAAACCTACCGTACGGACCTGTAGGCACGCCGCAGAGGTATACGAAATGGATTTCGGAATGCGTGGGAAATGCGAAATCTCGAACCAAGGTGGCGACGGAGGGAGGTAATCATGAATGGAGAGCGAGAGGAACGAGGGAGCAGGGGCGTCACCAAAACAAAGTGACAGCGGATTGGTCATGCAGACTCCGGCCCCGGGCGCGGGGGCCCCTCGGCCGCTCCACGCCGTGGCGCCGAAGAATAAGGAGGCGGAGAACTCGGGAGAGGGCTGCGACATGAGGAGGCTGGGGAATAAAAAAAGGGCTGCGAGACGAGGAGGCCTCATCACCTCGCGAACTGCACATTAGAACCCAGAAGTAATGCGGGATGACGATTAATAAAAAATGGGAGGGAACGATTATAACATTAGTTTTCTGCTATTTCTGCACAATTCTCTGACTGGAGGAGAACATTTTAAAACATAGTTTTCCAGCCCGCGGCCGGTTTTTTCTGATCGTCATCCCGGGCGCCGCCGCGTGAACACGACCCCCGGTCATTTATTAATCGTCATCCTCCATTAAGGGGGCAGGCCAGATCACCTCCAGTCAGGGCAACTCGGAGCCTGTAATTCCGACGATGCCGCGAGCAGGCATCGGGGGCCCGGCCCACCCCTGCCGACGGAAGCGAGGGGGAGGAAGAGAAGAGGCGGAGGGCAGAAAGGGAGCCACCGGCTCCCATTCGCCGTACAGCCATAGCGACCATGAGGGAGCGAGCTGAGGTGGACGGGGAGGCGAGGGAGGATGCTCAGAAGGAGATGGAAAGGATGGCAGGGAGGAGGTGGTGGGAGGGAGAGCAAACAAACACGAATCAGCGATGTGCATCTGCCATGATGAGCGGCACGATGCCCGTGCAGGAGGCATGACTGCTTGTGGGGCAGGGCCAGGAGGATGGGGCGATCTGGTTAGAGGAAAGAGAACTATGCACATACACCGATTCTGGCCAGGCCCATCCTGAGTCCAGGATCGGTGCATACGCCCTCTTACCTTGGCCAGGAAGGTATATGCACCGATCCTGGGTCAAGGATGGACGTCGTCAGGATCGGTGCATGTGCATAGTTCTCTTTGCCCGAATAGTGGGGAATGAGAGAGGAGGCCTCCCTTCGAGTCCTCTGCGTTGGATGCGAAGAATGCTCGCCGGACTTCCCGGGTTGCGCCGCGGAAGCTCTCGGACGCCCGAGGGCCCCGAGACGGCCCAATATAGCCTCGCCCGATCGCATGCTGTCTTCGGGCGGGCACGTGCGGGCCGGCGCTTGCACGGCCTGGTTGCGCGTCCTGCAGCGGCCGATGCGATTCGATCCCGACCCCGTGCCGACCCGACCTCAGGCGCGATCCCATGCGCGCTCCAACCCCACCCGCTCCACCCGACTCGATGCTGACCCATCCTGCTCCCAGCGGGTCCGGAACACCTCCCCCCGGCCTGCTTCTCTAAGAGGCCTCCTCGATAGGGGTCCGAGCAGATGGGGTCGCAGGATCGCGCCGCATCGCCAGTGCATCGCCGATGCGTCGGCGATGCATCGGCGACGTCGGCGCTGGGACACACGGTGTCGGCATCGAGCCGCGTCGTCAGTGCGTCGACGGTGGGGCGCGAGCCGCCGACCTCCATCTGCTCGGACCCCAGCTGGGAGGCCTACGCTCTCACCCCGCGTCGTCCGTCGACCGCCCCCCTTTTCGGACGCCTCTTGGGGGCCTCTTGGGGCTACTTGGGGGGCTCTGGGGGCCTCCTGTGAGCTTCTTGGGGCGAAAGGCTAGACTTTTCGGTTCGGAGGCCGAGCCTTGCGACGCGCCTCCGTCCAGCGCGATCTCTCCGCGGCGCGAGGGGAGGTCTGCGCTGCCTCCCGGCCTGCCTTGAGCAGGGAGCGACGGGCCGACCGCCCCAGCGTTCTTAGTGGCCTGCCTCGACATCTTCTTCGGACCCCAAAGTGTTCTGAGAACAACAACAACAACAATGCTCTCACAACGCAAGCCCGATGTGATACAGCAGTACAGTACAGTCCCAGCCAGCAATGTTCTAAGAACATGCCGTGGGAACCGCCAGCGGGCTCTTCTAACATCGCATGGTAGGCCTATGAGCACGCCGGGGCGTATCCCCACTGCTCGAGCTGCCCCCCTGCCGCCCCGCCACCCCTTCGGCTCGTGCGCCCGAAATGGATGCGGAACAAATGGGCAAAATGCCCAACAACAAATGTTGTCCCAAACTATCGGCGGCCGCTGTTGGGCAGGCGGCCTCCTGACTCGAATGGGCGCGGGCCGCGGCGGCGCGGACAGCGAGTCCGGTTCAAAATGAGCAAGAACCACTGTTGAGCATTGTGCCTATTCTTTCCGTGCTCATGTCGTTCGTGCAGAGCCACCCTTGCGGGGAAAGGACGCCGCGGCCGCGCCGGGCCGCCCTGGCGGGGAGGGCTGGCCCGCCCGGCCGCCGAGAGCGCCACCGCGGCCGCGGAGAGTTTGGGGGCGGCGGCTAGGCGGAGGGGCCGGCGGAGGAGGGGAAGGAGGGGAAAGAGGAGGAGGAGGAGGAGGAGGAGGAGGAGGAGGAGGAGGAGGAGGAGGAGAAGGAGGAGGAGGAGGAGGAGGAGGAGGAGGAGGAGGAGGAGGAGGAGGAGGAGGAGGAGGAGGAGGAGGAGGAGGAGGAGGAGGAGGAGGAGGAAAAGGAGGAGGAGGAGGAGGAGGAGGAGGAGGAGGAGGAGGAGGAGGAGGGGAAGGAGGAGGAGGGGGAGGAGGAGGATTATAGGGAGGAGGAGGAGGAGGAGGAGGAGGAGGAGGAGGAGGAGGAGGAGGATAGAAGAGGAGGAGGAGGAGGAGGAGGAGCAGGAGGAGGACGAGGAGGAGAGGAAGGATAGGAGGAGGAGGGGAAGGAGGAAGAGGAGGAGGAGCAGGACGAGGAGGAGGAGGAGGAGGAGGAGGAGGATAGGATGAGGAGGAGGAGAAGGAGGAGGAGGAGGAGGAGGAGGAGGAGGAGGACGAGGAGGAGGAGGATAGGAGAGGATAGGAACAGGAGGAAGAGGAAAAGAAGAGGAGGAGGATAGGAGGAATCTATGAGGATAGGAGGAGGATAGGAGGAGGATAGGAGGATAGGAACAGGATAGAAAGAGGAGGAAGAAGAAGGAACTAGGAGCTCGGAGATCCGCGAAAAGACACCAGCGGGGATCGGGAAAGGAGAGGCCGTGCAGGCCAAGAGAGGAAGGAAAAGGAAAGGAAGAGGCTCGCGGGACTCCCGGATGTCCCGCGTCGAAGAGAAGAGCCGCGCAGGCCTGCCTGTTCACAAGCTAGGAATGCGTGGGCACACGGAGGGGGGGCGGCAGCGATGTCCAGCGCGCGGAGGGGAAGCTCGCATGGAGAGGAACCACGCGCGCTTCGCGCGCGCTTAGGTTCTATTCGAAGACGCCGTCAGTTGGCGTTGCGCGCGCCCAAGGAAGGGCCCCTGCCCCCGCTCCGATGATGGGCAACACTGCGGGGCCCCTGGGGCCCTCGAGGGACTTCTCGGGGGCGTCGTGGGAACCTTTGCGGGGCTCGTCGGGGGCCTCCTGGTTGCCCCCAGAGGTTTCCTGGCGGCCCGTAGGGCCTCTCTCCTGGCGCCGGCCCCTGGGTCGTCTTCTCTCCGCGTTCTTGCGTTCTCCTCGTGTTTTTGGAAGCGTTCTCGCGGGCCTTGTGAAGCCTCGTGAAGTTTCACGGCGAACATCGCAAGCAGCGGCAAGGCACCCCTGGTCGCGGTGTCGTGGCGATGACGCGCGTTGTCGTCGTCATCATCACGAACCTTACCAGACTAATCCTGATCATAATCATCATGAACGCCATCGTCCTGCTAATCCGCATCTGGGGCATGACCGCCATCCTCACGATGGTCATGAGCACCGTGACGAACGTCACCCACATCATCATCGTTCTTATTGTCATCGACATCGCCATCACCAAATTGATTATCAGCAGCATGCGCAGGGTTCACATCATCATTATCACCATCGGCATCGTCGCCGCCATCAGCATCGCTATAATCATCAGGACCTCCCGTGCCGGAGAGGCGTTTCCGATCGCGGCGGCGGGTAACGCCGCTTGGGTCTCCCAGGGGCGCGCAGCTTCCTGGCAGGCGCTTTGGAAACATGTTTTGGAAGGAGCGGAAGCTTCTCAAACCATGTTGCCCGAAGGCTTTCTGGGAACTATGAAAGCCCGAACCCGTCGGACCATGGGAAACATCCGCGCGGTCACCCTTCCCGTTGCCCCGCGCTGCCAGTGGCGCGCTTTCACTCCCGCCTCCCAGGTCGATCCCCGAGAGTGCCTCGACGGCAAGACAGGGTCAACCCACTGCCTTCGGAAATCATAACGCCCCTTTCGCAACGTCGCTTCCTCCCTGCACAAGGGAGCGCGGCGAGTGCCCCCAGAAAACCACAACAGGAGACCCTCAGCGAATGAACCGCGCGCGCAGAGGTCTTCCGGCGCCATCCCGGAACCTCAGACGGCCGCGACTCGAAGACCGCCTCCGGACAGCCTGTGGCGGATGCGACGAAGGGAGAAGATCGGGGGAACAGTAAGATCAAAGAGGGATTCGATGGGGAAGAGCATCGAGGAACAGACGAATGCAATCAGAAGAAAAATCCACCGACCCCTTGTGGGTCTCTAGGCGCGTGAGATTCTCCCCCCCCGCATTGTCACGCGCCCGCCCCCCCCCAACGAATCCGAGTTTCGATCCCCGCCCCCCTGGCCCAAGGCAAACGCGCCATGAAAGCATATAGGGCTTCACCGCGACCCACGTGGCCTCATGCCGCACCCAAGCCGGTGAAAGAGCGACCCGACAAGCAGAGTCTTGCTCCCCTGTAAGCGAGCAAGAGCACCGCACATCGCGGAGCCGACAGTGCATAAAGGGTCGGAGGATGAGGCGTAAGCCTGTGAATATAAGTTCTCCCATGGGAAGCGCTTCATTCTTGCCCTTCGAGAGCCTTCTCGGCAGCCTCTTGGACCGTCTTGAATGCCTTTGTGGCCGTCTAGGAGCAGTCTTGGGCTTTGTTCGAGCGCTCGTGGCCCGTCCAGAAGCCGTCTCAGTGCGTTCTTTAGCCACCTTCCAGACAACCTGGGGCACTTTGGGCGCCTCTTGGGCCAGCTTGGGAGCCTCTGGGGGGTCCGGGGCCCCTTCTGAAACCTCGTGGAGCCCTGAAGGCCCCCCCGGTCCCCGATACGAGCCAGAGGTAGCAGTCCTGGGCCCTTCCCGGGCCTACCCTGATATATATATATATATATACACACATACATATATATATATATATATATATACACACTATAACCATCGCGCGCGCTTCGCGCGCGCTCAAGTTCTAGCCAGGTTTGATCGGTTAACTTATGTGATATCATGTCGTTCGTTTCTTGCGTCCAGGGGCTCCATTGGAGGCCCTGCGCAAGCCTCGGAATCGTATAGAAGGTGAAGTGCGGAAACGCAAAAGTCATTCAATTCCTTCAGGTATTCAACAAGGGGCCCTCAAAGGCTTCCTGGGTTCTTTTTGGGGAAGTGAGGTTGTGGCCTCTTGTGCAAGAATAGACCGGGAGCCAAACTTGAAAAAACAATGAATTGAGGGATTTCATGTTTTTCCAATTTCTCGGCGTTGTTCGGCGCTGATGTTTGTTTGTGCCTCGCGGGTTTTGTTAGCTGTGCCCCTCAGGGGTGTGGGATCTTCTGGACCCCCTGGGGGTTCTGGAGGCCTCCTGGAGGCCTGGAGAGCCGTCGGAAGGGTGTCTCGGGCTGCGCGAGAGCGTGTTGGACCATTCTTTACGTTCTGGGGGGTCCTTGGGGTCGTCTTGGGCTGTGGTTGGGCGTCTTGGCGGCCCCCCGGGAAGCCGGGAGGCGCGGTACCGCCTAGATGTCAGGGGATGTGTGGGATCTCCGAGTACGAGTTCCCCTTTTAAAACATAGATGGGAATCCCCGTTTTTTTCTTCTCGAAATCCTGTCTTTGAGGGTTGGAAGCAGGAAAACGTGAGAAGGCGAAAACATTGGAAACACCTTAGGGAAACAACGATTTCACCCTCTTTGGGTTCTCTCGGGACGGCTCTCGCAGCTCTCTTGGGCTGTTCTTGGAGCCTCGTCGGTTTCTTTTGGGGCCTCTCAGGGATCGGGGGTGTGTTGGGGGCCTCTGGGTGGGCCTGGAGGCCTCTCGGAGGTCTCTGGAAGCCTCCTGCCCCCGCTCTTGGGCCCATCTTGGGCCTGTTCTGGGGTGGTCTGGGGCTGTCCTGGACGCCTCTTCGGCAGTTGTAGCCTTCTTGGCCCGTCTTGGGGCCGTCCTGAGGGTCTCTTGGGTGGTCTTGGGGCGGTTTTGGGAGCCTCTTCGGCGCCCTTGGACCATTGAAAGCTCGAAAACGCGAGAAACCAAACATATCTTTTTGATGGAAAATTATATGCAAATATACGATTTGGGCCTCTTCGGGCCGTTCCGAGACGACTCTCGGACCTTTCTTGGGGTCTTTTGGAGGCCACCTGGGAGCCTCGAGAGCCGTCGGAAGGCTAACTTGGGCTGCTTGGGGGCGTCTTGGGCAATCGTTTCGCATTCTGGGGGCTCCTGGGGGGCGTCTTGGGCCCTCATGGAGCGCTGTGGAGGCTCCCCAGAAAGGCCGGGGAGCGGTACCGGGAGCGTTCCCGAGATGTGGCGGGGAAGGTGTGGGACCCGGGGCCGGGGGGGGGCGGTATATGTGTATATATATATATATATATATATATATATACACATGCACACATACATACATACATACATACATACATACATACATACATACATACGTACGTACGTACGTACGTGCGTACATACATACATACATACATACATACATACATACATACATACATACATACATACATACACATAAACATAGACATAACACGTGTCTATGTCTGCGTATACTGCATGTCCGCGCGTATACTATGTATGAAGACATGCCTATGTGCGAACAGAAACCGATTGCAGAAAGGGGGCTTCGCTCTTGTCCGTGTTCTGCGGGGACTACGGCGTTGAAAGAATGAGTATCGGGCAGGCGTCACCGTCTACATAAGAGGAAAAGAAATATGCGCCATGTGAGTCCTCGCGGTAATCAATCGTGACACGTGGTGCCCTGGGACCTAAGCTCCGTGATCTTTTTGTTCCGCTGCGCCACGTATGCGCTGGTGTTTGAACCCCATGGCAACATGCGACGCGTTGTGACGCGCAAGTGAGCTGGGGCCACGGGCCCGTAGTGTTTCGTGGCGAGCTGTCACGCGGAGTGCGCTCGGGCTACACTTGCGGCACCTCCTCTCATGACGGCCTGGGAAGTGTAACGAATCGCGCTGGGTCAGTGCGATCTTAACTGAGGCTTGCGCACGGCGGGGATCCACAGAGGAAGGGGCAGAATGGTCCGAAGCATGCGGCGCGATCGACTGGGCGAAACGACTCAGGAAATCGAAGTCACGCGTGATATCGGCCAGATGCGTCTTCTGCACATCGCGGTAGACATCGGCGTATGCGTGACTATCAGCACCGATCCGAGCAAAGAAATCGGCCCGAAACAATTGATGACTTATTCCAACTTCTGGTGTTCGCTGGGGCCACGGGTGCGCGGCATTCTGTCAACCGCCATGATGTTCGGGATGCGCTGCCGAAGCCCAATTGTAATGCGTGGCCCGTTGTGACGCGCGGACCGCGCTGGTGCCACGGCCACGTGACGCCTTGTGGCCCGGTGACTCACCGGATGCGTTGGGGCCAGGGCCCTGTGGCACTGCGCGGCCTGGCGTGACGGGGGAATGCGCGTCCCTGTGCCATCTTGTCGCCCGTTGTAACGTCCGGGATGCGGTAAGGCCTGGCTGGCAAATCGACTGGTGACTTCACTGGCCATGAAGGCCCCCGAAGGACATTCCAATCGCCACCAACTGACATGGTAACGAGGTGGGTCCATCTGCAACCCTGAAGATGACTCCGTCAAAAACGCCGCGCCGCCAGCCTGGAATCCATTTCCAAACATATCCCCTAAGACTGTATCCCATCCTCCCAAGCCGTAAGCTCCTTCATGCTAACGTACGCCTCGCCTCCCAGCCAGGTGCTGAACCGAATGATCTTGCGCAGCGCCTTCAGGTCTGACCGCATCGACTCCTCCACCCCGCAGTGCTGCAGCTTCACCTGGGGCGTGGCGATGGCGGCACCAGTCCGCGCGCCCTCCGTTTCGTTCCTGGCCGCATCACCGCTCAAGTTATATGTATTATGTGTGAGAGTGATGTTAAAGCAGGTTCCGCCCTACTAGAGCCCATTCGTGTTCATGAGGGTCCCTCTTAGCGCCTACCAGCGCCTAGCAGTTTCGTTTTGCGTCTACTTTCGACCACTAGTAGGCAATGATGAACGGCAATAGCCGGGGAGGGCAACAACTCATTCTCAGCATTACCCTCACGCATAAGCACCCCTAAGCCAAAAAGCATTCGCCTCCGCACCTGCGGCGCGAGGCAATGTTTTCAGCTGAGAAGCGCATCGTATTCGCGAGATCGCTTCGCTGCCGAACTCTGAGCAAGACGAGGAAGACAGACCGCGCCGCGGAGTCATGGCCTGGCCCGCTCTGTGGAAGTGGCGCCAGCGCATGTGGCATGGCTTGCTCCGGACAGTCGGACCTGGGCCGGAAGAACATCCCTCAAGAACATGAGACCGGCCGACGGCCAACAATACACAGAACATCCATAGGTACCCTCCCCAGGATGCACAAGAACATCCAACAAGCACGAAGAACACTAAGGTACCCTCCCTGAACCGACTTCGATATTATACCTCGGTCCGGCTGAATGTCGCTCGAGCGGACGTCGAGCAATCCTTGCGCGTTCGCGCCTATGCGTGTGTAGTGCACTAGAAACTGGGCCAACACACGTCCTGAGGATCACCGACCACCACCAAGAGGGGATGCTCCCTGATTTTTGGCGCAAGCTTAGGCTGGCACGACAAAGGAAATTCGACCTCCAGGCGCCTCGCGTCCACCCTCGACCTCCCTTCGCCAGGTCTCGCTGGCCCCTGTTTCCCCTTACTCCGCGTCGCTCCCCGCCCCGACCTCCCCGCCTTGCCCTCCACTTGCCCCGTTTCTCTCCTCTTCCCCCTCCTCTCCCCCACCTCCTCCTCTTCCTTCTCCGCTGATGGCATTCGGATCCAAGGGGATGCTGCCGTCCTTCTCCTCCTCCTCCTCCTCCTCCTCCTCCTCATGCTCCTCATTTGCCACCGCCTCCGTCCTCCTGCGCCTCCTCCGTCCTCCCTCTCGTCTGCCAGCGGCCCCTCCCCGCGGCGTTGGGCAGCTCGCAGATGCCCCCCCCCCCGCCCTCTCCTCCCAGAGAGGTCGGCCACGCCCGGGGGCAGCGGGCGCCTCCCGCCACTCGAGGCTCGACAGGGAGGGCCGACCGAGAGGCCTACGAGGGTCGACCAAGAGGGGGAGGAGGGGGAGGAGGAGGGGGAGGAGGAGGAGGAGGAGGAGGAGGAGGAGGAGGAGGAGGAGGAGGAGGAGGAGGAGGAGGGAGGATGAGGAGCAGCAGCGACCAGGAGATCGCGTGGGAGCAGAGGTCGACCGGGAGGGGGAGAAGGGTGGGGATGAGGGGGAGGAGAGGAGGACGAAGGGGAGGTGGAGGGGGAGTAGTGGACCAGTGCAAACCAGAGACCCATCCACAATGTTGGAATCAGCCCTCCCTCCAAGTTCCTCCTGCATGAGCCCCTTACAGGGATTCATTTTCACTGAGGGAAGTGCCCCGTTGGAAGGCAACCGTTTGAAAATCCGGAGCTGTGCCAGAACACCATTCCTGGGACTCCAACGCCGCGAATCACCGTTACTGCTGCGACGTGACGATCCCACATCGTGCCAGAATACCACTCCTGAAAGCAAGGAAATCCTTGCAAGAAGTGCGAACTCTGAAGACGAATGTGCGCGGCGCTACGGCGAGAACCACATTCTGAAAGCAAGCCGCCGTCAACCCGTGAAGCTCTTGCAAGTATTGAACAAAGAATGCACGCGGCGCTTAGGCGAGAACAACATCTTGAAAGCGGGTCGCCCTCTATCCGTGAAGCTCTTGCAAATGTCAAACTCCAGAACCATACATGGTGAGGAAGTCTTGCGCGAAACGCCCGGCCCGCCCTTTCGACCAGCCTCGGGGTGCGACAGGGAGAAGTTATTCATGAGGAAGCGGAATGGAGGATGAGGAGGAGGGGGAGGAGGAGGAGGCGGAGGAGGAGGAGGAGAGGGACGAGGAGGAGGAGGAGGAGGAGGAGGAGGAGGAGGAGGCTGGGCGAGGGCCGACCGAGGGGCCTCGGTGCTCAGCCGCGCGCGCGCGCGCGTGCGACTGCCGTCCGCCCGAACAGGCCAGAACGCTCCGCGCGCCATCAGAATCGCAGAGCCTGCTGCGCCATTCTTCGGGATGGGAGGGCATCGATTGCTGCTGCTGCTGCTGCCGACGGCGACGACGATGGCAATGGCGATGACGATGGTGCTGCCGCTGCTGATGATGATTGCAATGGTGATGTTGGAGGATGCTGCTGCTGTTGTTGCCACCGCTGCTGCTGCTGATGATGAGGATGCTCAGCACCATCATGATCATCAGCAGCATCCTCACCATCATCGGCAACAGGATCAGTGTTGTTATTCAAAACGATAGCGATAATTATGTTGGTGGGTGGGTGGGCGGGTTCGTGCCGGCCAAATAACACGCGTTATGTTTGCGACGTTGGGTTTTGTAAGACTACGGGAAAACACCGGATTCTGGCAGAAATTCGACCGAACGCAAATCACCGGGCCCAGCGTGACCTCGGACCTTCAGGGCCAAGTGCCTCCTAGCTTGCAAAACAACACTTGCGGCCCATATGAACATTAGCGTTGGATGGCGCGCGGCGAAACTGAGGAGTAAAATTGGCCCGGGCGGCGCCCCCCCCGCCCCCCCCCCCCCCGATTTCGGAATGGGTTTTGGCGCAGGGGCGAGGCTGGTCGTTTGCGGCCCCATTCGAAGATTCACCCCGGAAGCTGCGCGGCGAACGCGGGGGGGGGGGGGGGGGGGCGCTGCGCCCTAAGTTCCAGGGGCGACGCGCGGCTTGGGAACGAGTTTTTTTGCGGCCCCTCGAATGCGGAATGGATTTTAGCAAGGGCGGAAGAGACATGAAAGCGATATGTGCGGATCGTTAGGGAATTTGCCCTGGGGGCCCCGCAGTGAAAGCCGGAAGCGGAAGGGGGGGGCGGGGCGGCGAAGGGGGGGTGCGCGAGGGGGCGTTGATTGAGAGGAAAGAAAACCTAAAGGGAAACATTCGATAAATGCGGATTAGCAGCTTTCGGGCACGGCGAAAGAAGGGGCGCGCGAGGGGGAATGTGGCAGGAGGGGGAATACTGAATTAGGAAAGACATTGATTGCATTGGGGCGCCGACAACTAAGGAGGAATTGTGGCTTTGATGCCTCAGTGCGCGCGCGCGGGCGGAGCGGCTGCGCGGGGGGCGGGCGGGGGGTCTGGGAGAAAGGGGGGGGTGCGCGATGGGGGGGGGGGGGGCGGGCATTTGGGGGGGGGAGAAGAGGGAGGGCGCGCGAGGGGGGGCGTTTCACGGGGGCAACTATCGATTTGGGAGACATTGTATTGGGACCCCGAGAATAAAGGCGGAGTTGTTGCTTTTAGGCAGGGCGAAAGCGATGATGCGCGACGGGGGGGGGGGGGGGGCATTGCGTGCGAGGAAATTGTGAATGAAGAAAAACATTGCATTGTGATTCCGAAGGACAGAGAGGAATTGTGGCTTTGGTGCGCACGCGTGTGTGAGTGTGTGTGTGTGTGTGTTTGTGTGTGTGTGTGTGTGTGCGTGCGTGCGTGTGTGTGTGTGTGCGTGTGTGCGTCAGTGTGTGTGTGTGCTGGTGAGTGAGTGAGTGAGTGTGTGTGTGTGTGCGCGCGTGCGTGCGTGCGTGTGCGTGTGAGTGCGCTTGCGTGCGTGTGTGTGTGTGTGTGTGTCTCTCTGTGTGTGTGTGTGCGTGTGTGTGTGTGTATGTGTGAGAGTGCGTGCGTTTGTGTGCGCGCGCGTGCGCGGGCGCGTGTGCGCGCGTCTCACGGGCGACGGATATCCGCGAAAGCTGATTTCAAGAAGAAGCTTGTTTCTCAACTCCACTGTAAGAGCTCCATCAAACTCCAAGCACCGCGCCGACCAGGCACGAGCGCGCGCGCCCTGGGGCGTCGCCCCGCTGGAGGCAGAAAGAACCAATCTCAGCCAGACTGGCTACGGAAGAACTCGCGAGTCCTCGAAGCACGTTTCGACACGGGTGGCGATGCCCTCCAGCGGAGCTTCCCCCCAAGACTCTGCCCAAGACTGAGATCCCAAGACGTTCGTAGTTGGTCTGCGGGCCCCTGGCCCCCTAGAGCGCGCCCCACCAAAAGCGCTGGGAGATGCATGAAGCGCAACAGGGTCAAGCCAGTGATGAGAGCAAGCCTGAAAGCGAACTCCAGATACATGATGCTGACGCGAATGGCAACGGCAAAGCACACACTTTGAAACCACTCGGCGCCCTTCCAGACATCTGAAACTGAAATGCGCATGCGGACTCCTGCCAACAGCCGGCATATGTGCACTCCACTGCGGCCTTCCACAACTATGGTTGACGCCCACATAGTGGCCTGCACCGTGAAATTATTGAGCTGCTAACGCTAAACGGACGGCCCCACATTGCCAAGTCTCCACAATCTCGTAGACAGTGTCGGCCCACATGGCAAACTCACCCCGAAAAAGCAGCGGCGGTGCATATCCACGGCGAACTTTCAACTGACACCAGGCGGAACTGAATGCACGTTGGCCCAAGCCTCACCAATCGGCATCGTGCGTCTGAGCGCACGGAGCCGACGAATCAGGAGGGCGAAGATATGATACTGAAGGGCGAAATGGATTACCAAATACTGCAACCACCAACCACGTCAGCAGAAGCACACGCAAGGGAGAAAGGCTGATAGCCTCTTCGATGATATCTGACACGCGCGAGACAAAATCCGTAGCTGCTTGGTCGTTCGAACGCCAGTTGGCGTGAAGAACGCGATATTCTCGCCCTTGGTCTTCGGCAACTTCGCGACACCGTGGCGCATGAGAAACTTCTCCGCGGCCTTGGGGATCTCCCGCTTCTTCCACTCTTCCTTAAGAATGTCCGTGCAACCCA